ACAGCAGCGGCCGTCTGCCGCGGAGCCGCGCCACAGAATATGACTCACTACGTTGACAGAAATGTTGAAATTGAATATTACTTATACACATTTTTACAGCATTGAAATACGTTAGGAATGTTTTTCCTACCACAGAAACCACATTCAAACTAGGAATAAAATATAGCCCTCCCACTCCATTTTCAGACATTTTTGAAAAGGCTCCAGGAGCCACTTTAGGGGCACTAAAGGTTGCCGACCCCTGGTTTATACAGTATGTGGAAGCAAATACTGTAGTAGAGGATCAGGATGTCTGTAGTTTCAAAAAAATAAATAAAGTGCAATAGTCTACATTAAACAGAGTAATAAACATGTCTCAGAGTGAGGGAGGTGGGCACAGACAACACTGTTGTTTGTTACAGGGATGAGAATTGGTCAAAAAAGTCTGAAATGCATAATGTCAGCCATTGGCTAGCTCTAAATCTGTTTAATTTGTTCACAACATTTTACTTTTGGGCTCAAACATGAACTTTTAATGCAATGGAAAATTTAGGTACCCGAGCTTTAATTTAGTCGCACTTCGAGAGGAGAGGGGAGACGCGGACTTTTTCCTGCAGCGGTGTATTTGTTGGGTGCACAAATTACGCAAAGACATGCATGGTCCTGTGCGCGTTTATGGTCTTGGGTATATGGTCACGTTGCGGCTACCCGCTCACCGTGTTGTGTTGTGAGCGGCTCCCGGTGAGCGGTTCCTGCGTCCAGCTCAGAGCCGCTGGATGCGGGAACACTGCGGCCGCTGAGGTGGTGGAATCCCGTTTTAGTACATACTGTACAGCAGGTGCCCCGCGGACACGCGCGCCCCCTCGAACAGTTCTCAACGGATTTACACTTTTCACAAAAACATTTTTTTGTATGAGGCAAACAGACCGGCCCAAATATGGGCATCGGCCCTTCGGGCATTGCCCGGTACGCCCGATGGCCAGTCCAGCCCTGCATACACACACACATACCGGTCTGTCGCGCTCCTCTGTGTCACGGAGCCCAAAGGATTCGCGCAAATACACGGCTCCAGTCAAACCACATGGAACATGTTTGTGTTTATGGTCCTCGGGATCAGCTCCACACACATCACTTGTATTTAAACTTTTGTGAAGACCTGTGAGACGCGGCTCGTCACTCGCTGCTCTGACCATGTGAACGAGCCGTCGTTTGCTGCTAGAAAGTTTTGGTATTAACCCACAGCACAGCAGAATGGGAAGATTAAAAAAGCAGTTCTCTGTGCGCAAAGGTGCCGGAGCTGTTGCGGGTTTGGGCGCCGCTGTCTCAGCTCTGATCCAGTAGAACGCAGAGCTGCACTTATGAAAAGTACGCTGCTCGAAATGGCTGTTATTTCAAAGAACGTGGACTATTTTAAACTACGCAGTTAACCGGTTTCAACCGGTTAATGAGGCTCGGTGGTCGGTCATGAAAATTCATAGTTTTTTACATCCCTAGACAAAGAACTTCAGCAGAAACTTCACAAAAAGAGCAGCACGCCCTGGTCCTGGCTCACCTTGTACTGCAGCCTCACCAGTCGCATTAGACCTTCACATTAGAACCAGTCGCAATAGACCCGGTCACATTAGAACCAGTCGCAATAGACCCGATCACATTAGAACCAGTCGCATTAGACCCGGTCACATTAGAACCAGTCGCATTAGATCGGTCACATTAGAACCAGTCGCAATAGACCCGGTCACATTAGAACCAGTCGCATTAGACCCGGTCGCATTAGTACCAGTCGCATTAGAATCAGTCGTATTAGAACCAGTCGCATTAGACCTGGTCGCATTAGAATCAGTCGCATTAGAACCAGTCAAATTAGAACCAGTCGCATTAGAATCAGTCGCATTAGAATCAGTCGCATTAGAATCAGTCGTATTAGAACCAGTCGCATTAGAACCAGTCGCATTAGACCCGGTCGCATTAGAACCAGTTGCATTAGAACCAGTTGCATTAGAACCAGTCGCATTAGAATCAGTCGTATTAGAACAAGTCGCATTAGACCTGGTCGCATTAGAATCAGTCGCATTAGAACCAGTCGAATTAGAACCAGTCGCATTAGAATCAGTCGCATTAGAACCGGTCGCATTAGACCCGGTCGCATTAGAACCAGTTGCATTAGAACCAGTTGCATTCGAACCAGTCGCATTAGAATAAGTCGCATTAGAATCAGTCGCATTAGAATCAGTCGCATTAGAACCAGTTGAATTAGAACCAGTCGCATTAGAATCAGTCGCATTAGAATCAGTCGCATTAGACCCGGTCGCATTAGAACCGGTCGCATTAGAACCAGTTGCATTAGAACCAGTCGCATTAGAATAAGTCGCATTAGAATAAGTCGCATTAGAACCAGTCGCATTAGAACCAGTCGCATTAGAATCAGTCGCATTAGAACCAGTTGCATTAGAATAAGTCGCATTAGAATCAGTCGTATTAGAACCAGTCGTATTAGAACCAGTCGCATAAGAACCAGTTGCATTAGAATCAGTCGCATTAGAATTGGTCGCATTAGAACCAGTCGCATTAGACCCGGTCGCATTAGAACCAGTTGCATTAGAATAAGTCGCATTAGAATAAGTCTCATTAGAATCAGTCGCATTAGAACCGGTCGCATTAGACACGGTCGTATTAGAACCAGTCGCATTAGAATCAGTCGCATTAGACCCGGTCGCATTGGAATCAGTCGCATTAGAACCAGTCGAATTAGAACCAGTCGTATTAGACCCGGTCGCATTGGAATCAGTCCCATTTGAATCAGTCGTATTAGAATCAGTTGCATTAGAACCAGTCGCATTAGACCTGGTCGCATTAGAACCAGTCAAATTAGAACCAGTCGCATTAGAATCAGTCGCATTAGACCCGGTCGCATTAGAACAAGTCGCATTAGAACCAGTCGCATTAGAATCAGTTGCATTAGAATCATTCGCATTAGAACCAGTCGCATTAGACACGGTCGCATTAGAACCAGTTGCTTAGAATAAGTCGCAGTAGAATCAGTCGTATTAGAACCAGTCGCATTAGACCCGGTCGCATTAGACCCGGTCGCATTAGAATCAGTCGCATTAGATTCAGTCGCTTTAGAATCAGTTGCATTAGACCCGGTCGCACTAGGCCCGGTCGCATTAGGCCCGGTCGCATTAGACCCGGTCGCATTAGAACCAGTTGCATTAGAACCAGTTGCATTAGAACCAGTCGAATTAGAACCAGTCGCATTAGAATCAGTCGCATTAGAACCAGTCGCATTAGACCCGGTCGCATTAGAACCAGTTGCATTAGAACCAGTTGCATTCGAATCAGTCGCATTAGACCCGGTTGCATTAGACCCGGTCGCATTAGACCCGGTCGCATTAGATTCAGTCGCATTAGAATCAGTTGCATTAGACACGGTTGCATTAGGCCCGGTCGCATTAGAACCAGTCGCTTTAGAATCAGTTGCATTAGACCCGGTTGCATTAGGCCCGGTCGCATTAGAACCAGTCGCATTAGAACCAGTCGCTTTAGAATCAGTCGCATTAGAATCAGTCGCATTAGAACCAGTTGCATTAGACCCGGTCGCATTAGAATCAGTCGCATTAGAACCAGTCGCATTAGACCCGGTCGCATTAGAACCAGTCGCATTAGAACCAGTTGCATTAGAACCAGTCGCATTAGAATAAGTCGCATTAGAATCAGTCGTATTAGAACCAGTCGCATTAGACCCGGTCGCATTAGACCCGGTCGCATTAGAATCAGTTGCATTAGACCCGGTCGCATTAGGCCCGGTCGCATCAGAACCAGTCGCTTTAGAACCAGTCGCATTAGACACGGTCGCATTAGAATCAGTCGCATTAGAACCAGTTGCTTAGAATAAGTCGCAGTAGAATCAGTCGTATTAGAACCAGTCGCATTAGACCCGGTCGCATTAGACCCGGTCGCATTAGAATCAGTTGCATTAGACCCGGTCGCATTAGGCCCGGTCGCATCAGAACCAGTCGCTTTAGAATCAGTTGCATTAGACCCGGTCGCATTAGAACCAGTCGCATTAGAACCAGTCGCTTTAGAATCAGTCGCATTAGACCCGGGCGCATTAGAATCGGTCGCATTAGACCTGGTCGCATTAGAATCAGTTGCATTAGAATCAGTCAAATTAGAATCAGTCACATTAGACCCGGTCGCATTAGAATCAGTCGCGTTACACCCATGTGACAACATTTGTCTTCAGGGTCAAAAATCGAATCCTTTCAGCAGAAAAATAACAATGAGAATGAAATGAAACCGGCAATATCCCCGATACTACAGAATAATAATAATAATACATTTATTAAATCTGATCATTTGAAGTGTTCTCTTGTTAATCATTGCATCATTATTTTTTATTTATTATTGCAACAATTTTGGTCCAAACACAACTTTTGTTTATTGTTTATTAAACACAAACAGATTCTGGACAAATTCTACAAAATGTTACAAAAATAACTTTGACGTCTGAAACAGTGAATATGTACAAACCAAACATCGTGCAGAACATTCAGAATCTAACAACAATTTATTTATATATCACACTTTACCCTCACATCCTGTTACAGCCTCCTCTCCCCCCCCTGTACCCTTACTCCCGCCTCACCCAAACAGAAGGTTCCACCAGAGGGAGTCGCTCAATCCTGATCGTCTCTTAATCCATTAAACACCTTTAAATAATTTCACATTCTGGAACATTGGACCAGGTCTGAACCAGGACTAAACCAGGACTAAACCAGGTCTGAATCAGGACTAAACCAGGACTGAACCAGGACTGAACCAGGTCTGAAGACTAAACCAGGACTAAACCAGGTCTGAACCAGGACTGAACCAGGTCTAAACCAAGTCTGAACCAGGACTGAACCAGGTCTGAACCAGGACTGAACCAGGACTGAACCAGGTCTGAACCAGGACTAGACCAGGACTGAACCAGGAATAGACCAGGTCTAAACTAGGACTAGTCTTTGCACTGGAAGCAGGTCCTATCTCTCCTCTGTTTTGGGCGAGTCCACTGGCTCCTCCTCCTCATCCTTTGCACCAATCAGACGCTCCCGAGCGAAGTCCTCAAACACGATGTCATCGTCTCTGAAAAAGAAACTTTTACATTGAACATGATCTGGTCCTGGTCCTGGTCCTGGTCCTGGCCCTAGTCCTAGGTTAGGGTGAGTTCGCTCTGATCCTCATGGAGACTGGTTGGACGGTTTAATAATAATAATAATAATATTTGTTATTATATTATTATTATTAAACCGTCCAACCAGGATTAGAGCCTCATTGGACAAGCTCTAATCCTCATGTATGTTAGGGACCTTTCTAGACTCAAGAACGCCTTACATACAAGTAAGTAACAAGTTTGGGTCTAAAGCAGGTCTAAAGCAGGTCTAAAGCAGGACTAAAGCAGGTCTAAAGCAGGACTAGAGCAGGTCCAAAGCAGGAGTAAAGTAGGTCTAAAGCAGGTCTAGGGCAGATCTAAAGCAGGTCTAGGGCAGATCTAAAGCAGGTCTAGGGCAGGTCTAAAGCAGGTCTAGGGCAGGTCTAAAGCAGGACTTACTGTGTGTCAAACTGAATCAGGTTGGTGTCGACTGGAGTTTCGTCTGAGGCTAAAAACAAAAAAATATATCATTCTATGTATTTGTAAGACACCAGAGGGGGCGGGGTCTACACAGGAGGGGGGCTACACAGGAGGGGGCGGGGCCTACACAGGAGGGGGGCTCACCCTCGCGGAGGGGGTCGTCCGGAGGTTTGGGGTGCATCAGGGTGAAGGGCAGCTCCACAGAGACGTCACTGTCACAAAAAATACTTTCATCAAATTTATGTTTAATTTAAAGAATTAACTTTATTTTATTCTCACCTGGAGGCAAGGTCTCCTAGCAACCTGCAGACACAAGAGGAGGCGAGTGAGAGGAGGAGGTAGCACTTGTAGTAGCAGTAGCAGTAGCAGTAGCAGTAGTAATAGAAGTAGCAGTAGCAGTAGTAGTACCAGTAGTAGTAGCAGTAGTAGTAGTAGTAGCAGTAGTAGTAGCAGTAGCAGTAGCAGTACTCACCCTCCTCTGGAAACCACCAGTTTGACTTTGACTTTATACGACACAATGATTCCCAGGATTTCTTTGTTGGCTCCATCTCTGAGTCTGAGGACAGAACAGTGTGACATCACTGCGGTGTGACATCAGTACTTGTAGTACTTACAGAGTACTTATGATACTTGTACTACTAACAGCGTACTTGTAGTACTTACAGAGTACTGGATGCTAGGTTGGTGTCCTCGTGCCTAAGTTTTCCGTCCAGAGCGAGGCCTCGTTTTTCTCGATTATTCGACAGAAACGGAGTCAGAGTAAAAACTTTACACAGAGTAGAACTGGGAGCCACAGGGTCTCTGCAAATACAAGTACATAAGTATATATAAGTACAAGTATATATAAGTACATAAGTATATATAAGTACATGAGTATATATGCGTACATAAGTATATATAGGTTCATAAGTTTATATAAGTACATAAGTATATATAAGTACATGAGTATATATACGTACATAAGTATATATATGTATATAAGTATATATAAGTACATAAGCATATATAAGTACATAAGTACACATACATACAGTAAGTAGTACATAAGCAAGTAGTTTATTTATATAGCGCCTTTCACAGACCAGAGTCACAAAGTGCTTTACAATTGTGGGCATTTGTCTCTCACTCCACACAGAGATGAGAGCGAGTTCCCCTACAGGGGGCGCTGCCAGACCTATTGTACATGTTTTTAGAGGTAGGGGAAACCGTTGCACCCGGAGGATGGTCCTGGTCCTGGTCCTAGGTTAGGGTGAGTTCGCTGTAATCTTCATGGAGCCTGGTTGGACGGTGTAATAATAATAATATTTGTTATTATTATTATTATAATTATTAAACCAGGATTAGAGCGTCATTGGACGGGCTCTAATCCTCATGTATGTTAGGGACCTTTCTAGACTCAAGAACGCCTTACATACAAGTAAGTACCAAGTTTGGGTCTAAAGCAGGTCTAAGGCAGGTCTAAAGCAGGTCTAAAGCAGGTCTAAAGCAGGTCTAAAGCAGGTCTAAAGCAGGACTAAAGTAGGTCTAAAGCAAGTCTAAAGCAGGTCTAAAGCAGGACTAAAGCAGGACTAAAGCAGGACTAAAGCAGGACTAAAGCAGGACTAAAGTAGGACTAAAGCAGGACTAAAGCAGGACTAAAGTAGGACGAAAGCAGGACTAAAGCAGGACTAAAGCAGGACTAAAGTAGGACTAAAGTAGGACTAAAGTAGGACTAAAGCAGGACTAAAGCAGGACTAAAGCAGGACTAAAGCAGGACTAAAGTAGGACTAAAGCAGGACTAAAGCAGGACTAAAGTAGGACTAAAGCAGGACTAAAACAGGACTAAAACAGGACTAAAGTAGGACTAAAGTAGGACTAAAGTAGGACTAAAGTAGGACTAAAGCAGGACTAAAGCAGGACTAAAGCAGGACTAAAGCAGGACTAAAGTACATATATAAGTACATAAGTACTCTAAAGAACACATATGTAAGTACATACATGCTGGGTTCCTGGCACAGTCCAAAGAAAATGTGACATGGTCAGATTGTGGAATCGAATCATTAATATGCCAGACAACAGATTAACAAAAAAGGTCCTTAAATGGAGCAAAGCCATGTCCCCCTGGGCCGCAGAGCTTCGATCTGTGTTTGCTGAAGTGCAACTCCAATAAGTTTTTCATAACAATCTGCCATGCAGCGTCAGTAGCATTAGAGCAAAACTAGTGGCCGATTTTGAAAAAGAGTGGCGAATTGGAATTTTGACAAAACCAAAACTAAGAACATATATTCAGTTAAAAGAAAATTTCAAAACAGAGTTTTACGTCACAGCAAATTTGCCCAGGAATCAGAGATCTTTGATGGCTCAGTTTCGTACCGGAATTCTTCCATTAGCGCTAGAAACAGGGAGGTTTTCACAAACCCCTGAGGAGAAGAGACTGTGTTTATTTTGTGAACTCGATGAAGTGGAAAGTGGAATTTTTTGTTATATTGTCGTTTTTATGATGAATTTAGAAATGTGTTGTTTTATGAAACGTTCTCCCGGGATCCTGATTTGTTTTGGGGCTGTGATTATGACAAGATAACATTTTTATATGAAAATCAAGTGTTTAAAGTGTCTTCATTTTTAAGTAAAGCTTGGAAGAAGCGGCAGTCTCATCTATTTAAATGAGAGCATTTGTGTTTGATTTTGTTTATGATTTTGTTGTATGATTCGGTGTATGTGCCGGATGTTGGCCTGTGTCTCTGTATTTGCATAAATGGTGTCTTATAAGCCCATGTGGGCTGGGCATCCTTGTATGCAAGACACTATAATAAATAAAAATCTATCTATCTATCTATCTAATACTTTAAAGTACACAAAGTACATAAGTACACACAGTACTCACTCGCTCTCCTCTGAGGCCACAGGACACTTGTACTGAGCCGTGTTGAACAAACAGATGTCTGCGAACTGTCGCACTGCAACACAAAACAACTGTTAGTGTGTGTGTGTGTGTGTGTGTGTGTGTGTGTGTGTGTGTGTGTGTGTGTGTGTGTGTGTGTGTGTGTGTGTGTGTGTGTGTGTGTGTGTACCTGAGATCTTGATGCGTCTCACAGTCTTGTTTGTGTTGTTGGTCACATGGACGTTCACACTGATGGGTTCACCATGGTAATACACCTGCAGGACACAAGGGGGCGCATGTGAAATCACCATAGTGTGACATCACCACCACAGTGTTGCAGCACACGTATAATAGTAAGAGCACACATGTCTCTGTGTGTTTGTGTACCTGTGTGTGTACCTGTGTGTGTACCTGTGTGTGTAGGTGTGCACTTGTTTTCAACTCCTGGTGGGTTCCATAACCTGAGATTCCACTCACGTCATGGGGACTGGTTTTACGTGGTGGGGCCCGAACACCGGACCCCACTGGTCCAAGCTTAATAATCAATGGGTAATGCTTTTCTAACGGTCCTTATGCAGTCTCTGTAAAAATATGGAAAGGACCCCTGGAGGTTTACTTTCCTGAAAAAAGTGTGTTATGTGTCGGAACCCTGGTGGTGGGTTGCGGGATATCAAGGAGGGGCACACTGGGGCAATTTCAGTCCAGCAGGCTGGAGCCAATCATGGAGCAGCACAACAGAGGAAATCAGGTGTCAGGCTAGAAAAAGGTGCAAGTGTGTGGTTCATTAGGCTGCAAGAAATCATGGAGGAGCACACTGAAGCGCACGCTTACAAACCACTGGTAAGTGCTGACTACAAGTCATGACTTCAAATTGTTATATAGAATGATTACAAATTATTTGTTGTTTGTGCAGCTTAGTCAAGAGTCCCTAATTGATGAAGTCGACTCAGATTCTGACGATTTAACTGTCAAGAAGAAACCTGTAAAAAAGTATGGAAAAAGAAAAATCAAAAACACTTTTCTTCAAGACTCGGAAAGTGACGAACCAAAGGCAAATAAGATTGTTATCATGCAGCTGCAAAAGAAGAAAAATGGGGGGCGAGTATACAGCAAGAGACACTTCTGCCTCTACTGTTCAATGTCCTGCCACAAAATGTCCCGTCATTTGACTAGAAAACATGGAAATGAAAGTGACGTAGCCAGAGCATTGGCTCTACCTGTGAAATCTAAAGCACGTAAACTTCAGTTTGATTTGATCAGGAATAGTGGAAACCGTGAGCACAATTTTGAGGTTTTAAAGGCCGGCATTGGAACTTTAGTCCCAGCTAAACAGCCAAATTCCCCAGTTAAATCCAGTGAGTTTTTGCACTGTATAGACTGTGGGGCATTGCTTAAGCGAAAGTCGCTGTGGAGGCATGTGGCCAGGTGCCGGCTTTCACAGAAAGATGCCCAGGCTAAACCAGGTAGAAGTAGGGTCCAGTCCCTCTGCTCCCTAGCCCAGCCTGTACCGGAGGGCATCAGCAAAAAGCTGTGGTCTTTAATTTCGGCAATGCATCAGGATGAGGTCACGGGTGTTGTCAAAGCAGAAAAGGGGATTCTGAGACTCGGAGAGCACCTGTACTTAAAACACGGGCATGATAAGACAAAGCATGATTACATTAGGCAGAAAATGAGAGAAGTCGGTAGGTTAATTAACGAAGCAAAAACCGCAGGGAAACTGAAAACAATTAAGGATTTCTTTATTCCTTCCAACTTTAACCATGTGATTGATGCAGTCAGGTCTGTGGCTGGATATGATGAGGAAACAAATCAATACAAGACTCCATCCTTGGCCCTCAAACTCGGCCATAGCCTCAGAAAGCTAGCAGATATTCTTGAATGTGACTCAAAAATGGAGCATTGTGTTGATGAACTATTTATTAAAAACCTCCAACGAAGCCGGCTGCTTTTTGAGAAGAGGTGGGACGTCTGTGTTTCTTCTGCTGCCCTACAGACCCTCCGGCAAGCCAAGTGGAACACTCCGGACCTGCTCCCTCTGACTGAGGACGTTAGAGCCATGCATGCACATATTGAGGTATGTCGACCTGAATATGTGCAAACCCTAATAAGTGAGCCAACGTCTAAGCATTGGTCTAAACTGGCAGTTTTGACTCTTTGTGAGGTCATCATTTTCAATCGAAGAAGGGAAGGTGAGGTTTCAAAGATGCCACTGACAGCCTTTACCTTAAGAAGTAAGACTGGGATCCATTCTGACATTGCTCTGGGACTGTCCCAACTTGAGAAAAAGCTGTGTCAGCATTTTCAACGCATTGAAATTAAAGGGAAAAGAAGTCGGAAAGTGCCGGTTCTTTTGACTCCTGAAATGATTGCTTCGATGGAGGTGCTGGTGGAGAACAGAAGGGCCTGTTCCATCTCTGACCATAACCCATACTTCTTTTCCCGCCCGGGCGCAGACACCCACATCAGGGGATCAGACTCCCTACGCCAGGTAGCCAAAGAATGTGGTGCGGTGCATCCAGAGATGCTATCCTCAACCAAACTTAGAAAGCACATAGCTACTATGTCTACAGTTCTCAATATGAAAGAGAATGAGATGGACATACTTGCCAACTTCCTCGGCCATGACATTCGCATCCACAGGCAATATTACAGACTACCAGAGGGGACACTGGAGCTGGCCAAAATCAGCAAAGTGTTGATGGCCATGGAGCAGGGAAGAGTGACGGAATTCGAAGGAAAGAGCCTCGACCAGATACAAATTGAGCCTGAAGGTAATTCTTGATATTATTAAAATATGTATGATTTTTTTCCCCTAAAGGCCACTTGTATTTTTATTTTCTGTGCGACAGGGAGAGCAGTAGAGATCCTCTCACAAACGGACGGGCTAAAAGAAACTTCAAGCGGAGAACCTTCAACCATTCATCCAGATGCACCCCATGGTAGTGGCAGTGCCCCTTCTGGTAAGTGTACCAGGTGGGGGATTACAGCCAGGCTGCTTGGTCCTCACCCTGGGAGTGTATATTGCTAATATATTTTTATTTCTCTCCCTAGAACGTGTAAGAAAGCCATGGTCTGCATCTGAGGTGAAGGCTGTGGAGAAGACCATGACACCTTTCATACAGACTGGAAAGGTCCCTGGGAAGTCTCACTGCCTGGCCTGCATTAATGCCTCACCAGATGACCTTAGACATCGGACATGGAGTGGCATTAAATTCTATGTCAAAAATAGAATCACTGCAATTCGAAAACAAAATCTAAAATAAAATTCCTTTAAAATAGTTGTTTGGTTTCTATTGACTGTTTTGTATTACTTAAAGTCTTGGTAAAAAAAGATTATGTCTATGGGTCCCATTCTGAACGGCCCTGTCAAAGGGACCCACCAGGTAACAAAAACGTGTATGTGTGGGTGTGCAGAAAGTGTTTTGAGAAAAAAACCCAAGTGTTTAGGCTGTAGGACCAGGCACACGTTGAAAATCAGACTAAGTGTTTTGAGAAAAAAACCTAAGTGTTTAGGCTGTAGGACCAGGCACACGTTGAAAATCAGACTAAGTGTTTTGAGAAAATAACCTAAGTGTCTAGACTGTAGGACCAGGCACACGTTGAAAATCAGACTAAGTGTTTTGAGAAAAAACCTAAGTGTTTAGGCTGTAGGACCAGGCACACGTTGAAAATCAGACTAAGTGTTTTGAGAAAATAACCTAAGTGTCTAGACTGTAGGACCAGGCACACGTTGAAAATCAGACTAAGTGTTTTGAGAAAAAACCTAAGTGTTTAGGCTGTAGGACCAGGCACACGTTGAAAATCAGACTAAGTGTTTTGAGAAAAAAACCTAAGTGTCTAGACTGTAGGACCAGGCACACGTTGAAAATCAGACTAAGTGTTTTGAGAAAAAAACCTAAGTGTTTAGGCTTTGAGGAGCCCGGAAAGCGGGGCTTACTTCCCCCGGGAATGGGCGCCCAGGCCCGGATCTGAGCGGGAGCAAAGCCCGCCCCGGTGGTAGCCCAGGTCCGGAGGAGTGCGTGGGTGAAGACCCCGTGTCTCTAGCCCTCATGGTTCGTTTTCTACGAGCCATGTAAGCCGAGGTTCTCCTCCCCCAGAAGGAGCGCTCTTGGGCGGATGGCAGGCGCGCGGTCCCCCGGTGGTTTCCAAGGGCCATAACTTTCTGGTCCTTTGTCCCCCAAGCGTCAAATTCACACCGCGGGTACCCCTGGACCAGGGGAGTCCCTGGGTCCAGACCGCGAGTCTCTGGGCCTCTGCGTTGATTTTTAACGAATTTCCGGAGGCTCTCCCTGTATTCCCAGGCACACACGCTTTTGGAGCTCAAGCCCCTTTTACGCAGGCCGTAACTTTTTTGTCTTTCATTTCCCATGAGTGAAATTCACGGAGGATGTAGCCCAGGTCCGGAGGAGTGCGTGGGTCCAAACCCCATGTCTCTAGCCCCCGTGGTTCGCCTTCTACGGGCCCGAGAAACCGCCACTTTCTTGACCGAGAATAGGCGCTCGTGAGCGGACACGGCCACGCTGTCCACCGGTGGTTTCCAAGGGCCATAACTTTCTGGTCCTTTGTCCCCCGCGCGTCAAATTCACACCGCGGGTACCCCTGGACCAGGGGAGTCCCTGGGTCCAGACCGCGAGTCTCTGGGCCTCTGCGTTGATTTTTAACCAATTTCTGGAGATTCTGTATTCCTAGGCACACAGGCTTTTGGAGGAAAAAATGACAAAGTGTCTAGCGAGCTCAAGTGCCTTTTGCGCAGGCCGTAACTTTTTTGTCTTTCATTTCCTATGAGTGAAATTCACGGAGGATGTAGCCCAGGTCCGGAGGAGTGCGTGGGTCCAAACCCCATGTCTCTAGCCCCCGTGGTTCGCCTTCTACGGGCCCGAGAAACCGCCACTTTCTTGACCGAGAATAGGCGCTCGTGAGCGGACACGGCCACGCTGTCCACCGGTGGTTTCCAAGGGCCATAACTTTCTGGTCCTTTGTCCCCCGCGCGTCAAATTCACACCGCGGGTACCCCTGGACCAGGGGAGTCCCTGGGTCCAGACCGCGAGTCTCTGGGCCTCTGCGTTGATTTTTAACCAATTTCTGGAGATTCTGTATTCCTAGGCACACAGGCTTTTGGAGGAAAAAATTGTGTGACAAAGTGTCTAGCGAGCTCAAGTGGCCTTTTGCGCAGGCCGTAACTTTTTTGTCTTTCATTTCCTATGAGTGAAAGTGTGTGGTTCATTAGGCTGCAAGAAATCATGGAGGAGCACACTGAAGCGCACGCTTACAAACCACTGGTAAGTGCTGACTACAAGTCATGACTTCAAATTGTTATATAGAATGATTACAAATTATTTGTTGTTTGTGCAGCTTAGTCAAGAGTCCCTAATTGATGAAGTCGACTCAGATTCTGACGATTTAACTGTCAAGAAGAAACCTGTAAAAAAGTATGGAAAAAGAAAAATCAAAAACACTTTTCTTCAAGACTCGGAAAGTGACGAACCAAAGGCAAATAAGATTGTTATCATGCAGCTGCAAAAGAAGAAAAATGGGGGGCGAGTATACAGCAAGAGACACTTCTGCCTCTACTGTTCAATGTCCTGCCACAAAATGTCCCGTCATTTGACTAGAAAACATGGAAATGAAAGTGACGTAGCCAGAGCATTGGCTCTACCTGTGAAATCTAAAGCACGTAAACTTCAGTTTGATTTGATCAGGAATAGTGGAAACCGTGAGCACAATTTTGAGGTTTTAAAGGCCGGCATTGGAACTTTAGTCCCAGCTAAACAGCCAAATTCCCCAGTTAAATCCAGTGAGTTTTTGCACTGTATAGACTGTGGGGCATTGCTTAAGCGAAAGTCGCTGTGGAGGCATGTGGCCAGGTGCCGGCTTTCACAGAAAGATGCCCAGGCTAAACCAGGTAGAAGTAGGGTCCAGTCCCTCTGCTCCCTAGCCCAGCCTGTACCGGAGGGCATCAGCAAAAAAGCTGTGGTCTTTAATTTCGGCAATGCATCAGGATGAGGTCACGGGTGTTGTCAAAGCAGAAAAGGGGATTCTGAGACTCGGAGAGCACCTGTACTTAAAACACGGGCATGATAAGACAAAGCATGATTACATTAGGCAGAAAATGAGAGAAGTCGGTAGGTTAATTAACGAAGCAAAAACCGCAGGGAAACTGAAAACAATTAAGGATTTCTTTATTCCTTCCAACTTTAACCATGTGATTGATGCAGTCAGGTCTGTGGCTGGATATGATGAGGAAACAAATCAATACAAGACTCCATCCTTGGCCCTCAAACTCGGCCATAGCCTCAGAAAGCTAGCAGATATTCTTGAATGTGACTCAAAAATGGAGCATTGTGTTGATGAACTATTTATTAAAAACCTCCAACGAAGCCGGCTGCTTTTTGAGAAGAGGTGGGACGTCTGTGTTTCTTCTGCTGCCCTACAGACCCTCCGGCAAGCCAAGTGGAACACTCCGGACCTGCTCCCTCTGACTGAGGACGTTAGAGCCATGCATGCACATATTGAGGTATGTCGACCTGAATATGTGCAAACCCTAATAAGTGAGCCAACGTCTAAGCATTGGTCTAAACTGGCAGTTTTGACTCTTTGTGAGGTCATCATTTTCAATCGAAGAAGGGAAGGTGAGGTTTCAAAGATGCCACTGACAGCCTTTACCTTAAGAAGTAAGACTGGGATCCATTCTGACATTGCTCTGGGACTGTCCCAACTTGAGAAAAAGCTGTGTCAGCATTTTCAACGCATTGAAATTAAAGGGAAAAGAAGTCGGAAAGTGCCGGTTCTTTTGACTCCTGAAATGATTGCTTCGATGGAGGTGCTGGTGGAGAACAGAAGGGCCTGTTCCATCTCTGACCATAACCCATACTTCTTTTCCCGCCCGGGCGCAGACACCCACATCAGGGGATCAGACTCCCTACGCCAGGTAGCCAAAGAATGTGGTGCGGTGCATCCAGAGATGCTATCCTCAACCAAACTTAGAAAGCACATAGCTACTATGTCTACAGTTCTCAATATGAAAGAGAATGAGATGGACATACTTGCCAACTTCCTCGGCCATGACATTCGCATCCACAGGCAATATTACAGACTACCAGAGGGGACACTGGAGCTGGCCAAAATCAGCAAAGTGTTGATGGCCATGGAGCAGGGAAGAGTGACGGAATTCGAAGGAAAGAGCCTCGACCAGATACAAATTGAGCCTGAAGGTAATTCTTGATATTATTAAAATATGTATGATTTTTTTCCCCTAAAGGCCACTTGTATTTTTATTTTCTGTGCGACAGGGAGAGCAGTAGAGATCCTCTCACAAACGGACGGGCTAAAAGAAACTTCAAGCGGAGAACCTTCAACCATTCATCCAGATGCACCCCATGGTAGTGGCAGTGCCCCTTCTGGTAAGTGTACCAGGTGGGGGATTACAGCCAGGCTGCTTGGTCCTCACCCTGGGAGTGTATATTGCTAATATATTTTTATTTCTCTCCCTAGAACGTGTAAGAAAGCCATGGTCTGCATCTGAGGTGAAGGCTGTGGAGAAGACCATGACACCTTTCATACAGACTGGAAAGGTCCCTGGGAAGTCTCACTGCCTGGCCTGCATTAATGCCTCACCAGATGACCTTAGACATCGGACATGGAGTGGCATTAAATTCTATGTCAAAAATAGAATCACTGCAATTCGAAAACAAAATCTAAAATAAAATTCCTTTAAAATAGTTGTTTGGTTTCTATTGACTGTTTTGTATTACTTAAAGTCTTGGTAAAAAAAGATTATGTCTATGGGTCCCATTCTGAACGGCCCTGTCAAAGGGACCCACCAGGTAACAAAAACGTGTATGTGTGGGTGTGCAGAAAGTGTTTTGAGAAAAAAACCCAAGTGTTTAGGCTGTAGGACCAGGCACACGTTGAAAATCAGACTAAGTGTTTTGAGAAAAAAACCTAAGTGTTTAGGCTGTAGGACCAGGCACACGTTGAAAATCAGACTAAGTGTTTTGAGAAAATAACCTAAGTGTCTAGACTGTAGGACCAGGCACACGTTGAAAATCAGACTAAGTGTTTTGAGAAAAAACCTAAGTGTTTAGGCTGTAGGACCAGGCACACGTTGAAAATCAGACTAAGTGTTTTGAGAAAAAAACCTAAGTGTCTAGACTGTAGGACCAGGCACACGTTGAAAATCAGACTAAGTGTTTTGAGAAAAAACCTAAGTGTTTAGGCTGTAGGACCAGGCACACGTTGAAAATCAGACTAAGTGTTTTGAGAAAAAAACCTAAGTGTCTAGACTGTAGGACCAGGCACACGTTGAAAATCAGACTAAGTGTTTTGAGAAAAAAACCTAAGTGTTTAGGCTTTGAGGAGCCCGGAAAGCGGGGCTTACTTCCCCCGGGAATGGGCGCCCAGGCCCGGATCTGAGCGGGAGCAAAGCCCGCCCCGGTGGTAGCCCAGGTCCGGAGGAGTGCGTGGGTGAAGACCCCGTGTCTCTAGCCCTCATGGTTCGTTTTCTACGAGCCATGTAAGCCGAGGTTCTCCTCCCCCAGAAGGAGCGCTCTTGGGCGGATGGCAGGCGCGCGGTCCCCCGGTGGTTTCCAAGGGCCATAACTTTCTGGTCCTTTGTCCCCCAAGCGTCAAATTCACACCGCGGGTGTGAATTTGTGTGAAAATAAAATTCCTTTAAAATAGTTGTTTGGTTTCTATTGACTGTTTTGTATTACTTAAAGTCTTGGTAAAAAAAGATTATGTCTATGGGTCCCATTCTGAACGGCCCTGTCAAAGGGACCCACCAGGTAACAAAAACGTGTATGTGTGTGTGCGTGTGTGTGTGTGTGTGTGTACCTGTGTGCGTGTGTTTGTGTGTGTACCTGTGTGTGTGTGTGTGTGTACCTGTGTGTGTGTGTGTGTACCTGTGTTTGTGTGTACCTGTGTTTGTGTGTGTACCTGTTTGTCCAGAGAGGCCTCCAGATGCAGAGGTTTGTCCGACAGTAGGAACAGTCGTGTGGTTTCTGCAGTGGGCTGAGGTCCTGCTTTCTCTGGAGCAAACTGCACCTTTCGGATCACCAGGCGGACAGAGTTCCTGAGACCAGAGACCAGACCAGGGTTAGACCAAGGATCAGACCAGGGACCAGAGACCTAGGTCAGAGCAGGGTTAGACCAGAGACCAGACCCGGGTGGGACCAGAGAGAGACCAAAGAGAGACCGAGAGACCAGACAGAGACCAGAGAGAAAGACCAGACCTCAGGATCCGTACCCTGTGGGACTCACCGTTTGTGGATCTTCTCTTCTGGATTTTCTGCACAAAATGCTTTCACCTCAAAGTCCACTCCACAGGCCTGAAATAAGAGCAAAACTATGACTGAACCAGGACTGAACCAGGACTGAACCAGGACTGGACCAGGTCTGGAGTAGGACTGGATAAGGTCTTACCTTCCCCGTGTCCTCGGGTCCTGGCTGCAGTGTGACGGAGCACGGCAGGTTGAGGGGAATCTGATGAGAAACAGTGAGAGTCAATCATCTGTTAATAATGTGGCTCCTCCCCTCTCTGTGGCCCCTCCATTGGGCTCTGCCCCTCCCTGTGGTTCCTCTCCTTCCTGTAGCTCCTCCTTGTGGCCCCTCCCCTCCCTGTGGCTCCTCTCTTCACCTGTGACTCCTCTCTTCCCTGTGACTCCTCCCTTTCCTGTTTCCCCTCCTCTGTCTGTGCCCCCTCCCCTACATTTTGCTCCTCTGCTCCCTGTGGCCCCTCCCCTCCCTGTGGCCTCCCCTCCCTGGGGCTCCTCCCTGTGGCCCCTCTCTGTGGCCCTTCCCCTCCCTGTGGCTCCTCCCTGTGGCCCCTCCCTTCCCTGCGGTTCCTCCCTGCGGTTCCTCCCTGTGGTTCCACCCTGTGGCCCCTCCCTGTGGCCCCTCCCTGTGGCCCCTCCCTGTGGCCCCTCCCTGTGGTACCTGGAAGGTGAAGGGGTGGGCGTGTTCCCCCAGTTTCTTCACCAGTCTTTCCTGGAGTCGACTCAGAGCTTGGGGACTGGCCGGCTGCTCCTCCTGGTTCTCCTTTAGAGCCTCCTTTGGGGCCACCTCCTGGGCCTTCTCCTGGGCCTCCTTTGGGGGGTTTTCCTCGGGAAACACTTGGACACTGGCCAAGAACAGGTCTTTACGAAACGTGAGTCCGAGAACGTCCAGATCCTCACGACCGTAACGGAATGCACAGGTCAGCGTCACGAAGACTGCAACACAACACACACTTGTGACACACACAGATACACACATATACACAAATTCTCACGTACACACACACACACACACACACACTGCAATGGCCTGCTCACAGGTCTGTCCAAACAGGCTGTAAAACAGCTGCAGTACATTCAAAATGCAGCAGCTCGAGTCCTGACTAGAACCAGGAAGTACGACCACATTAGTCCAGTTCTCAGGTCTCTGCACTGGCTTCCTGTGGCTCAGAGAATAGACTTTAAAACAGCTCTGCTTGTGTACAAGTCTCTCCATAGCCTCGCACCAAAATATATTAGTGACATGTTAGTCCCATCTGAACCAGCCCGGACTCTGAGGAGCACAGGGACTGGACTCCTGTTAGTGCCCAGAGTCAGGACTAAACATGGGGAGGCTGCTTTTCAGGTTCATGCTGCTAAAATCTGGAACAATATTCCTGAAGATGTGAGACAGGCCTCCTCTCTGACAATGTTTAAAACCAGGTTAAAAACGGTGCTGTTTAGCTGTGCATACAACTGAGGGATTTTATATTTGTATCTTTCTTTTTAATGTACTCTGATTATTTATGATTTTAATGCTTTCTTATTTTGTTCAGCAATTTGAATTGCCTTGTGTATGAATTGTGCTATATAAATAAACTTGCCTTGCCTTGCCACACACACGCACACACAGAGAGACCCACATTCTCACCTTTCCTCTCTTTCAGGTATTCTGGGTCGATCAGAACAACTCCATCTGGAACAAAACAATCACAGATTCAAACAAGAAGGAGGAGGAGGAGGAGGAGGAAGAGGAGAAGAAGAAGGAGGAAGATTTGAAGGAGGAGGATGAGGAGGAGAAAGAGGAGGGAGAGAAACAAAATTAAAAGGAGGAGGCTGAGAAGAAGGAGGTGAAGGAGCATGAGAAGGAGGATGAGGAGCAGGAGAAGAAGTAGGTGAATGAGAAGAAGGATGAGGAGGATGAGTAGGATGAGGAGGAGAAGAAGAAGGATGAGGAGGAGGAGGATGTGGAGGAGAAAGAGGAGAGGATGATGAGTAGGGGGGGAGGAGGAGAAGAAGGAGGGTGAGGATGGAAAGGAGAAGAAGGTGGAGGATGAGAAGGTGGAAGATGAGAAGGAGGAGGATCGTGAGAAGGAGGAGGAAGAGGAGGAGGAGAAGGATGAGAAGGAGGAAAGGGAGGGAGAGACAAAAGAAGGAGGATGAGGAGAAACAGGTTTTTACCAACTGCTTCCACACGATCCACATGGTCAACAAAATCCCGCCTCCCGAGGTATACAGTCAACTGAGGAGCCAATCAGAGGAGAGGAGGATCCAGTCAGAGAGAGGAGGAGGAGCCAATCAGAGAAGAGGAGGATCCAGTCAGAGAGAGGAGGAGGAGCCAATCAGAGGAGAGGAGGAGCCAGTCATATAGAAGAAGAGGAGCCAATCAGTGGAGAGGAGGAGGAGCCAATCAGAGGGGAGAAGGAGCCAGTCAGAGAGACGAGGCGCCAATCAGAGGAGAGGAGGAGCCAGTCAGAGAAAAGAGGAGGAGCCAGTCAGAGAGAGGAGGAGCCAGTCAGAGAGAGGAGGAGCCAGTCAGAGAAAAGAGGAGGGGCCAGTCAGAGAGAGGCGGAGGAGCCAATCAGAGGAGAGGAGAAGCCAGTGGAGAGGAGGAGCCAGTCAGAGAGAGGAGGAGGAGCCAATCAGAGGAGAGGAGGAGCCAGTCAGGGAGAGGAGGAGGAGCCAATCAGAGGAGAGAACATTCAAAACAGTTATGACTGAGTGAACATGATTGAAAGTGGAATCACAGCCTACCTTCCCGTTGGGACTCGCCTTTTTGAACACTCTGAAACACAAAGGGTTAAAACTGTTAACACAAGAAACACACACACAGTGGAGACACACAGACACAGCCTCAGTCCTGGATCTACGGCCTCAGTCCTGGATCTACGGCCTCAGTCCTGGGTCTACAGCCTCAGTCCTGGGTCTACGGCCTCAGTCCTGGGTTTACGGCCTCAGTCCTGGGTCTACGGCCTCAGTCCTGGGTCTACGGCCTCAGTCCTGGATCTACAGCCTCAGTCCTGGTCTCATTATAATTTCATGTCCATTAGTGAAGCAGGAAACAGCCTAAGATCATTTTTCATGTTTCACAGATTTACAGCTGTTTAAAGATTCACGAGGAACAAGCCCTGGTTCAGTCCTGGTTCAGACCTGGTTCAGTCCTGGTTCAGTCCTGGTTCAGACCTGGTTCAGACCTGGTTCAGACCTGGTTCAGACCTGGTTCAGACCTGGTTCAGACCAAGTCTGTAACTTGAACCTAAGTACTTTCTGCTTCTGCTGATGCTGGAGTTTCCTCCAATCGATGAGGAAATCCTTCAGATGACTATTACCACTACTACTAATACTAACACTAATACTAACACTAAAACTAACACTAATACTACTGTAAATATTCTCCTGTAACCACAATCTTCAGACTGAAAGTTTTGCCCATTCCTCTTTACAAAGCAATGCTGTGAGACTGCTTTTCTTCAGCAGGGGCAGAGAAGAGTGTCAGAGCAGAACCAGGTCTCTGGGGCAGGACTAAACCAGGACTATCCCAGTTTTAAACCAGGTATAAAGCAGGACTATAGCAGGACTACAGCAAGTCTAAAGCAAGTCTAAAGCAAGTCTAAAGGAAGTCTAAAACAAATCTAAAGCAGGTCTACAGCAGGTCTACAGCAGGTCTAAAGCAGGTCTAATGCAGGACTAAAGCAGGTCTACAGCAGGTCTAAAGCAGGTCTGATGCAGGACTAAAGCAGGATTAAACCAGGTCTGAGTGGCAACCATCTTTTTGATTTTGTGTTGAAGAAATTGACAGAAAGACACAAACCTTGTTCCTTTATCTCCCATGACGACAGACGTGTCCAGAGCAGATACAGAACCAGACCAGACCAGACCAGACCTGACCAGAGACCAGAGACCAGAAAGAGACCAGAGAGGAACCAGAGCAAATCCGCGTCCAGGCGAGAGACGAGCAGAGGAGACAAATGAGGAGAGGGCAGGAAGGAAGGATGCGGTTACTGTGGAAACAGGCATCCCCTCATCCCCCCTCCCCCCTCTCTGTCTGAGCGCGCTCAGATGCATCGAAGTGCTGCTGCTACAGGAGACAGTCCTGTAGGGCCTGTGTGGTCTGAGTGGAGCCTGCAGGGTAAAGAGGCAGAGCTCAGAGCCATAGGGAGGGAAAAAACACAGTGAGGGCTCGTCTCTTTTCTTAAATAGTATGAGATTCATACTGCTCTGCAGGTATGACACTGACCACAGGGGGCGCTCTACCAGAGTGAACACACTCTACATTGAGCTAACTCCCAGTGGCTCTGGTGAGGGTCTGGGTCTGGTCTAAGACAGTGTTAGTGTTGGTCTCTGTTCACAGCATGATGCTACCCCTCCCTCACGCTGATAACTGTCATAGCGTCTAGTCTCTGGTCCTGATCTCTGGTCCTGGTCTCTGGTGTGTAGCCTCAGGTGAACACATGAGACACAGATGTGTGAAGACAAATATAAACAAATGTGTGAAAACCACTCTGACCTTGCAAAAGTGTTCATACCCCAGGCACATCTGTTACCGTAACGACCATACACACCAGAACCCAGGACTGTAGCTTTTTAGAATGATCAATTTATTTGTTTCGTTTGTGTGGATGGATGTGTTTTTGCTGCTACTGGACACCGGAATTTCTCCTACGGGGATCAATAAAGTATCTATCTATCTAGACCCAGGACTGAGGCTGTAGATCCAGGACTGAGGCTTGTCTCCTCTCTCTTCGTCTCCTCTTTCCTTTCTCTTCTCTCACTCGTCTCCCCTAGACCCGCACCACGTTTGCCCTCATTCTCAGTGTGTCAGGGCAGCTGTAGCGAGGACGCAGAAGCAACTGCCAAACCAGAAGTTTTGTGGAGGTAACTGCTTAAACTGACCTCAGATTTTTGGTGATTTCATAGTTTTTTTATTTTCATGATAATGAAATTTGTAGGATTCACACTGGAGGCATCAAAACAATGAATTAACTCATTATGAATTATGTACGTACTAAAAAGAAGAAGAGGATAAAAAAACTGAAATGTGTCTTATATTCTAGGTTCTTCAAAGTAGCACCTTTTGCTCTGATTACTGCTTCACACACTCTTGGCATTCTCTTGATGAGCTTCAAGAGGCATTGAGTTCCCAGAGGTACTGAGTTCCCATAGATGCTTAGCACTTGTTGGCCCTTTTGCCTTCACTCTGTGGTCCAGCCCCAAAACCATCTGGATTGGGTTCAGGTCCGGTGACTGGAGGCCAGGTCATCTGGCCCAGCACCATCACTCTCCTTATTGGTCAAACAGCCCTTACACAGCCTGGTGTAGATCTACAGTCAATAGTCATGAAAAGAAAGGAAACTTTTGGTCTGTACTGTAAATACAGTATATACACATATAAACATATACAGTATATACACTTACATACATATACACCCATACTGCGTAGGTTTCCTCCGGGTGCTCCGGTTTCCCCCACCACTAAAATATCCACAATAGGTATGAATGTAAATTAGGGCTGGGCAATAAATTGAATATAGGCAATCAATCGGCTTTTGGAAAAATCTAATTTGTGAAAAATGTGAAAATGGTGAAATCGAATGAAGGATATTGTGCGAGTTCCCGCAGCACATGAATTACTTGCAATATCAGCACAGTCTGTACAAGACTTTTATAATACGTATTGGGGGAAACATGGTTTTGAAACTTGATTATTGAGTGGAAAGATCAAAACATATTTTTAAGGGCAAACTTTAATGAAAATCGATTTAAAATCAAAATCGTCCAAAGCAGAAAAATAAATCGAGATTTTACTTTTTTGCCATATCGGCCAGCCCTAATGTAAATGAGAGAGTGAATGGATGGTGTTGATTGGGGCTTTGATGCACCAGTGTGTTCGACGACTCTCTTCCGTCATCACCGTGTGTGGAGTGATTGGAACAATATTTGAACTCGGAACATTGTAAAGCGCTTTGGGTGACCTTGGTCTGTAAAATGCGCTGTATAAATATACATTACTTACTTACATACATACATATTAATACACACAGATTTATACACATACATATACTTTTTTTTCATTTGATGAATAGGGAACGTACCCCATACTTCCGCACCATCATTTAGATTTGGTAGAATCAGGGTATTATAAAGTACAGTGCTTTCTGATTTACAACATGTTTAGTCTTTTGCATTATGACCTTCAAATCTTCATTTGAAGGTCATTTCTATTTTATCTTTTCATCTATGTTGAAGCCTAAAATCGTTGTATAACTTTCCTTCTCTATTACAATGTGATCTATTTTTAATTCAGTCACTGCATCAATTTTCTGGTAGTAAATATAACAAAAATATAACATACTTGTTTTGCTAAATTCATAGACAATTTGTTGTAGTCAAAACATTTTTTCGAGATGTTTGGTTCTTTTCCCACTCTGTCCAAAAGGTGTAAATACTGGTGTCATCAGCAAATAAAATATGTTTTGTTTTTCTGAAAGCAAGACCAATATCATTTATACAAATATTAAACAATTTGGGTCCAAGAACAGAGCCCTGTGGAGCCGATGAAGACCCACATCGTAAACTCTTTATCAGTGGCTTTTGTTATTTCTTCTAGTTCCATGATTGCTGAGGGTGATCTGTTGCTCCTGAACCCAAACTGATAATCCCTTCTTAGCTATATTTAATAAAATCCTCTAACCTTATAACAAAGAGCTTTTCTTTGCAGCAGCAGAGATATTGGTCTGTAACTCCACACAGGTATTGCTTTCACTGTTTTCATTTTGGATGGGAATATGCCAGTGAGAAAAGACTGGTTGCAACTGTTAACACATTTATTTGACTTTTCAAATTGTTTATTATTTGAAAGACAAAAGTTTATAACCAAGAGGAAATATGCTGATTGGCGGATGTGTGATTGGCACATGTGTTGGAGCAGGGGTGCTCACACTTTTTCAGCATGCGAGCTACTTATAAAAGGATCAAGTCAAAATGATCTACCTACTACAAAAATGCAAATCATATCTTTATTTCAAAAAATATTCTTTATACCTACAATGTATGTTTATGTACATGCAAAACCGCATGAGCCAATATAGCACAACACAACACAATTACCTATGTACATTTTTTGTCATTACCCGAGTTTACTCTGATGACTTGCACTGAATTGAATCAGCCAGGGATGCATAGTCCGGAAAATTGGTGGTAACTCGCTGACAAGTTTGTCGTGGTTTAGCTTTCCTGCACTGAGCGCGGTTGTTTGCGCATGTGCAGTCAACTAGTGTCAGTAAAACATTACTGAGTAAAACACAGATGTCATTTGACTGTGGTGCCATGTCCATGTGCCATGCCTGTTTTTTTTAAATCCAAATATTTCCCCTCCTCAGTTTATAAAATAATTTGCATCCACACATCTGCGTTATCAGTCACGTTCGTAACATTCCAAACATGTGCGTCTCTTACGTCCTGTCCTGCGTTGGGGAAAAACACAGAAGTGGGCGGAGCTTTGATGCAGACGCCGGTAACGGCACTTTTACAGTCCCCCACCCAACAATTGTAAACCGCTTTGAGACTCCGATGTGCAGTGAAAAGGCGGTATATAAATAAAAGCTTACTTACTTACTTACTTACAGTCATAGAAGACATTCAGAGTAAAGACGTATGTTTACAAGCACTGACCCCGTCCTCAGCCCTGGTTTAGTCCTGGTTTAGTATTGGTTTAGTCCGGGTTTAGTCCTGGTTTAGTTGTTTTCGAGCGTGAGTCCCCGCGATCACTTTGCTCCCCTCTGATGTGGAGCGAGGATGTTTGCTGCTGCGAGCATCTCACAGCGAACAGTTTTTAAGGTAGTATGATCCATGCTTCAGTGATCAGAGGAATTTAGGGGGGGTACTGTGGCGTGCGAGAACGCAAAACTCTGGTTATCTCTGTCTACACACAAATGCATTAACGGAGTTTTCAAAAATCTCCACTTTGCCCGGAGTTTTTTGTATATATTTGTTTAGAATGTGTAATTTTTTCATTTATTTAATGCGATCTACCAATACTACCTTTGCAATCGACTGGTAGATCGCGATCGACGTATTGAGCACCCCTGTGTTAGAGCTAGGGATGTCCTTTCACTACGCTCTGCCTCCGATCCCCTTCCATTGTTAAACTTCAAATCCAATCTCGAGTGCCAATCCACTGCTATATTATAAAAGTACATTTTTAGCGGCTAAACTCAATATTTAACAGACTGATTACATTGATATGTAGTAATTGAGTTTTCATTACAACAATTACAACAAAGAAGTAATTCAGCCTCAGTTTATTCTTTCAGGCAAAAGTAAGAAATAAAACACTCTCTTGGTTGGTACGGTAACAAAGCATCAAATATTCACATTTCTATAAAACAGTGTGACCGCTGTATGGGACCGACGAGGCTTTAAATGATAAGGATCACACCAGTGTAAAGCAGAGTAAAGGGACACACTCTGAACTCCAAATATCCGCAGTAAAACTTTTAGCTGAACATTCCTTTTGGTGGATTTATACAACGCTGTGTGCTGCGTTTCATGTTCAGTGTCAAATGCAGAATACGATTTGTCGTGTTGAATGTAACTCTAACTCTAACCCTCGCCCTTCAACATGTTACATAGCTTTACTCTATGTTGCTTTTGTGCTGTCATCGTTTTCTAATGAGAAATTCTGCCAAACTTTGGACATGTTTTAACCATAGTAGCCACACAAACACCACAATGAATCTTTAACGTAACTGAGCTTTAAATGATTGCGTGCGCTGTTACCGTAAACAACTGCTACTTCACGACAACAGCTGTAAAGATCGGACGAGTCGTCAGGCAGATTAGTCAAAAATCATGAAATATCAGCCCCTTCCCTATTGGGGACTGCTGATTGGATCATTCACTCCAGAGAACAGCCCGCCTCCTTTTATCCACTGTGACCAAGTACCGCCCACTGATACTCCAGGACACGCCCACTAGGGAGGAGCTATGAGAGGAGAGAGGAAACAAAGGGGTTAGTACCCGGTCTGGTCATTCAGGGGTCAAGGGTCGGAGGTCAGTACCTGGTCTGGTCGGTGATTCTGCTCTGGACTTGTCCTGAAGAAATGTTCCAAATGTAAACAGCACCATCTGCAGACGCTCCAGCAGCATAACACCTGTCAGGACTGAGACCAGAGACCTGGTTTAAACCTGGTTTAGTCCTGGTTTAGTCCTGGTTTAGTACTGGTTTAGTCCTGGTTTAGTCCTGGTTTAGTCCTGGTTTAGTCCTGGTTTAGTCCTGGTTCAGACCTGATCGTGGCCTTGCTTCTGTCGCTGCAGTGAAGCCCCTCCCCCTTCAGACAGGTGTGGGTGAAGCTCCGCCCCCTCAGGTCGAACAGATGCAGGGCGTCGTCACGGCAACAGCACAACAACAAACACCCGTCTGAGCTCAGGTCCAGGCCAGAGACCCGGTCTGGGAGCCGCAAGTCCAGAACCCGCGAGCCACATCTGCGGAGGGGCAAGCAAAGTCTGAGTCCGGGTCTGGGTCCAGATCTGTGTCTGGGTCTTACCTGAGGTCCCACAGTCGAACTCTTCCGTCTAAATGTGAACTGAAAACTGACGACTCTGAACAAACCAGATCTGACACATGAGACTCCGCCTCCAGGACATGAGAACCTTAAGAAGACAACACTCTTACTCTAGTACTCCTACAGTACTCTAGTACTCCTACAATACTCTAGTACTCCTACAATACTCCCGCTGCAGGTCCCACAGTCGGATGGTTGCGTCTGCACTTCCTGTCACCACCAGAGGGGGCGCACTGAACCGAGCTGCACTCACTGTCCTACGGTGTCCTGTCAGAGTCAGCTGCAACACAATAGATGGTTTTCCATTGACGTCACGCACTACCCACAATTCCGCAGTTCGCCATATTGTCTGTCTAGCCGCCGCTAGTTGTAGGTAAACAAAACGTAGCACATCACTTTTTTGGGGCTAAAACATGCCGACTGCCTCCGTCGTTTGGGGGTGCAGTAACCGTGCAGATTGTGGGGACATTCAGAAGGTTATTACGAGCCAGGGGAGCGACTTTCGACATAGAAAAGAACCCTTTAGTTGGCGAGGATCAACAGAGAGGGATTCAACCCTAACCCCCTGGAAAACGGCACTATAAGGTCTGTTCTGACCATTCCATAACAGGTAAGAGCTAAATCTGTGCATGTGTGGTTTATATTCAGAGCTGCGATTTGACTGTGATACCATGTACAAGTATGGGCCCTCGAGCGATCCCCTCTGAATAAATGAGGAGGAGGAGGAGGAGGAGGAGGGGGGGGGGGGTGGTAGACAGAAGTGATTTATGGCCTGTGATATCAACTGCTCCGTTCAAAATAAAATATTAATTGAAAGAAAAATCGCATCATATACATCATGACCTTTTTTTAATTGTAAAACTGTTAAGTGAGAGTAAGACATTTCAGGCGAAGTCCATTGGTCTCGCTGCGTTTCATATGGATCCAAATCTCCGATCATTATCAATTTCTCCAAGGATCTTGCATCACAGATTACTCCAGTGTATCAATATACTTAACGCGGTCAGTGTTGGCCGAATTTGTGGCTTCAGATGACATGGGGACAAATGATACGTTCAATAAGCTTGACTCGCAACATGGCGTTTGTGCAAAGCATCATGGGTAATAAGCACGTGATGGAAAACCATCTATACACACAATCACACAACAATATAACACAATACGCACACACAGTAACACAAACATATAACAGCTCCAGTATCGTTTTTCTCTGTTGTGTGTCTGTTATTTGTCTCTATTTTGTGTGAGTTGTGTGTCTGTTGTGTGTGTTGCTGTGACAGCTGTCCGAATGATCTGTACTGTGATTAGAGGGTTTCACCTTGGGGGCGGGCTCGTTCAGTTGCCATAGTAACGCAGACTTATCATGTGACGACGCCAAAACAAGAAAACCCTGAAAACGTTACAAGAATTGGTTTATATAAATATATAATTAATTAATGATATACATATATAAATATTTATATTTAAATTATATATATATATACACACATATACATACATATATATATATATATATATATATGCATATATATATATATATGTATATATATATATATGTATGTATGCATATATATGTATGTATGCATATATATATATACATACATATATACATATGTATATATACATATACATATGTATATATACATAAAGCAGAGTTTAGTTTCTCACTGTTTTGTCAAAGTCGATGCAGGTCACAGACTCCGTGAATCCAAACAGAGACGCTTCAAGAGAGAGACGACCTGAGGAGGAGCAGAGTAGGTGCACAGGAACTGAGGAGGTGCAGGGGAGTACAGGGACTGAGGAGGCACACAAGCACTGAGGACGGGGAGTGGAGGAGTACAGGGACTGAAAAGGAGCAGAAGAGGAGTACAGGGACTGAAAAGGAGCAGAAGAGGAGTACAGGGACTGAAGAGGAGCAGAAGAGGAGTACAGGGACTGAAGCGGAGCAGACGAGGAGTACAGGGACTGAGGAGGAGCAGAAGAGGAGTACAGGGACTGAGGAGGAGCAGAGGAGGAGTACAAGGACTGAAGAGGAGCAGAAGATTAGTACAGGGACTGAAGAGGAGCAGAAGAGGAGTACATGGACTGAGGAGGAGCAGAAGAGGAGTACAGGGACTGAGGAGGAGCAGAAGAGGAGTACAGGGACTGAGGAGGAGCAGAAGAGGAGTACATGGACTGAGGAGGAGCAGAAGAGGAGTACAGGGACTGAGGAGGAGCAGAAGAGGAGTACAGGGACTGAGGAGGAGCAGAAGAGGAGTACATGGACTGAGGAGGAGCAGAAGAGGAGTACATGGACTGAGGAGGAGCAGAAGAGGAGTACATGGACTGAGGAGGAGCAGAGGAGGAGTACATGGACTGAGGAGGAGCAGAAGAGGAGTACAGGGACTGAGGAGGAGCAGAAGAGGAGTACAGGGACTGAGGAGGAGCAGAGGAGGAGTACATGGACTGAGGAGGAGCAGAAGAGGAGTACATGGACTGAGGAGGAGCAGAGGAGGAGTACATGGACTGAGGAGGAGCAGAAGAGGAGTACAGGGACTGAGGAGGAGCAGAAGAGGAGTACATGGACTGAGGAGGAGCAGAGGAGGAGTACATGGACTGAGGAGGAGCAGAAGAGGAGTACAGGGACTGAGGAGGAGCAGAAGAGGAGTACAGGGACTGAGGAGGAGCAGAGGAGGAGTACATGGACTGAGGAGGAGCAGAAGAGGAGTACATGGACTGAGGAGGAGCAGAAGAGGAGTACATGGACTGAGGAGGAGCAGAAGAGGAGTACATGGACTGAGGAGGAGCAGAGGAGTACATGGACTGAGGAGGAGCAGAAGAGGAGTACATGGACTGAGGAGGAGCAGAAGAGGAGTACAGGGACTGAGGAGGAGCAGAAGAGGAGTACATGGACTGAGGAGGAGCAGAAGAGGAGTACAGGGACTGAGGAGGAGCAGAAGAGGAGTACATGGACTGAGGAGGAGCAGAGGAGGAGTACATGGACTGAGGAGGAGCAGAAGAGGAGTACAGGGACTGAGGAGGAGCAGAAGAGGAGTACATGGACTGAGGAGGAGCAGAGGAGGAGTACATGGACTGAGGAGGAGCAGAAGAGGAGTACAGGGACTGAGGAGGAGCAGAAGAGGAGTACAGGGACTGAGGAGGAGCAGAGGAGGAGTACATGGACTGAGGAGGAGCAGAAGAGGAGTACATGGACTGAGGAGGAGCAGAAGAGGAGTACATGGACTGAGGAGGAGCAGAAGAGGAGTACATGGACTGAGGAGGAGCAGAGGAGTACATGGACTGAGGAGGAGCAGAAGAGGAGTACATGGACTGAGGAGGAGCAGAAGAGGAGTACAGGGACTGAGGAGGAGCAGAAGAGGAGTACATGGACTGAGGAGGAGCAGAAGAGGAGTACAGGGACTGAGGAGGAGCAGAAGAGGAGTACAGGGACTGACCGTGGTGCACCTCCCAAAGCCTCAGGTGTCGATCGTCTGCAGCTGTGGCCAAAACCTCAGAACAAGGACTGAAGCGACAACAGTGAACCTGATCCTGACACGCACAGACACACACACAGGTCAGACACACACACAGGTCAGACACACACACACACAGGTCAGACACACACACACAGGTCAGACACACACACACACAGGTCAGACACACAAACACAGGTCAGACACACACACAGGTCAGACACACACACACACACAGGTCAGACACACACACACAGGTCAGACACACACACAGGTCAGACACACACACACACACAGGTCAGACACACACACACAGGTCAGACACACACACAGGTCAGACACACACACACAGGTCAGACACACACACACACAGGTCAGACACACACACAGGTCAGACACGCACACACACACACACACACACACACAGGTCAGACACGCACACACACACAGGTCAGACACACACACACACACAGGTCAGACACACACACAGGTCAGACACGCACACACACACACACACACACACGCACACACACACAGGTCAGACACACACACACACAGGTCAGACACACACACTAACCCACACGTGTAGGACCTGACAAGGCATTCCTGTGGAAACACAATACTGTGTCGGTCTCAGAAGCTCCACCTCCAGACTGTGTGACCGGCCACGCCTCCTGTGACATCATCAAGAAGAGACTGTGAAATCATCAGAAATAATCTCTGGTCTCTCTCTCTCTGCTCGCACTACTCTCTCTGCTCTCTCTCTCTCTCTCTCTGCTCTCTCTCTCTCTGCTCGCACTCTCTCTCTGCTCGCACTCTCTCTCTCTCTCTGCTCGCACTACTCTCTCTCTCTCTGCTCTCTCTCTCTCTGCTCTCACTCTCTCTCTGCTCTCTATCTCTCTCTGCTCGCACTCTCTCTCTGCTCGCACTCTCTCTCTCTCTCTGCTCGCACTCTCTCTCTCTCTCTGCTCGCACTCTCTCTCTGCTCTCTCTCTGCTCGCTCTCTCTCTCTCTGCTCTCACTCTCTCTCTGCTCTCTATCTCTCTCTGCTCGCACTCTCTCTCTGCTCGCACTCTCTCTCTCTCTCTGCTCGCACTCTCTCTCTCTCTCTGCTCGCACTCTCTCTCTCTGCTCGCACTCTCTCTCTGCTCTCTCTCTGCTCGCTCTCTCTCTCTCTGCTCGCACTCTCTCTCTGCTCGCACTCTCTCTCTGCTCGCACTCTCTCTCTCTGCTCTCACTCTCTCTGCTCTCACTCTCTCTCTGCTCGCACTCTCTGCTCGCACTCTCTCTCTCTCTCTGCTCACACTCTCTCTCTGCTCGCACTCTCTCTCTCTCTCTGCTCGCACTCTCTCTCTGCTCGCACTCTCTCTCTGCCCGCACTCTCTCTCTCTGCTCGCACTCTCTCTCTGCTCACACTCTCTCTCTGCCTCACACTCTCTCTCTCTCTCTGCTCGCACTCGCACTCTCTCTCTGCTCGCACTCTCTCTCTGCTCACACTCTCTCTCTGCTCACACTCTCACTCTCTTTCTGCTCGCACTCTCTCTCTCTGCTCTTTCTCTGCTCGCTCTCTCTCTCTGCTCACTCTCTCTCTCTCTGCTCACACTCTCTCTCTCTCTGCTCACACTCTCTCTCTCTCTCTCTGCTCTCACTCTCTCTCTCTGCTCACACTCTCTCTCTGCTCACACTCTCTCTCTGCTCACACTCTCTCTCTCTCTCTGCTTGCACTCTCTCTCTGCTCACACTCTCTCTCTCTCTCTGCTCGCACTCTCTCTCTGCTCACACTCTCACTCTCTCTCTGCTCACACTCTCTCTCTCTGCTCACACTCTCTCTCTCTGCTCACACTCTCTCTCTGCTCGCACTCTCTCTCTGCTCACACTCTCTCTCTCTCTCTGCTCACACTCTCACTCTCTCTCTGCTCACACTCTCTCTCTCTGCTCACACTCTCTCTCTGCTCGCACTCTCTCTCTGCTCACACTCTCTCTCTCTCTCTGCTCGCACTCTCTCTCTGCTCACACTCTCTCTCTGCTCACACTCTCTCTCTGCTCACACTCTCTCTCTCTCTGCTCGCACTCTCTCTCTGCTCACACTCTCTCTCTCTCTCTGCTCGCACTCTCTCTCTGCTCACACTCTCTCTCTGCTCACACTCTCTGCTCACACTCTCTCTCTGCTCACACTCTCTCTCTGCTCACACTCTCTCTCTCTGCTCACACTCTCTCTCTCTCTCTCTGCTCGCACTCTCTCTCTGCTCGCACTACTCTCTGTTCGCACTCTCTCTGCTCTCTCTTCTCTGCTCTCGCTCTCTCTCTCTCTCTGGTCTAAACGCACCTGAACAGGTTTCTGAAGAAGCTCAGTCTGGGAGATGAGGCCGACGCTGATCTGCAACAGAAGTTCACTGAGCAGTAGTATCTGTAGTAGCAGTAGTAGTAGCAGGAGTAGCAGTAGTAGCAGCAGTAATAGTAGCAGTAGTAGTAGCAGCAGACTGACCTGATTCTTGCTGTGGTGGCTGGGGCCGGAGATAAAGGGGAGAACCCTGTCGTCACTGTGTTACTATGGCTACTAATTTAAAAAAAAGCAAAAATAAAGAAATAGTTATATATATGTAGTAAAACACGTAATATTCGCTGTAAACGTATTCTAGACCCTGATTGGCAGTCCTTTCTGCGCTGACTGTCTGACTGGCTGAGCTGCTCCAATAGGCAGGACCTCTGCTGCACTTCCTGCCTGAGGAATAGCTCCGCCTCTGCCTGTTGCCGCAGTAACGCGTCGTAGTCTCGTTTCAGAGTAGAGTTAGAATCTCGCATTGAGTTAACACGGGAGACGAGAGACCGATGAGACAGCACCGCCATCTGCAGCTCCGACTGTGCTACTGCAACACTGCAAGAGAGAGACATGAGACCAGAGAGAGACCAGAGAGAGACCAGAGAGAGACCAGAGAGAGACCAGAGAGAGACCAGAGAGAGACCAGAGAGAGACCAGAGAGAGACCAGAGAGAGAACAGAGAGAGAACAGAGAGAGAACAGAGAGAGAGAGACCAGAGAGAACAGAGAGACCAGAGAGAGAACCGACCGAGAGAGAGACCAGAGAAATACGTGACATCTTGTGTCTGTACCTGTGACTCTTCTGCTGCAGCCGTTGCTCGGTCTGAGAGAGAGAGGTCTGCAGCTGCACCACCTGACACGCCAGCTGCTAGAGACACCTGTCACTCACGCCTGTCACTCACGCCTGTCACTCTTCTCTCACTCACATCTGTCACTCACCTGTACCGAGTCCAGGTGGGTGGAGCTCTGCCCTCTGTAAAACACCACAGATTAAAACAGAAGGGGCGGGGCTACCAAAGAGAGGGGGCGGGACTACCTGGGAGACACGGCCATCCCATTGGTTCTCTCCAGGAGTCCAGCGTCTGAGGAGACAGGAGTAGTCTCATAAATAACACATGTTTAAAGCTGGGGCCTGTAACTTTAGTCTCATAAATAACACATGTTTAAAGCTGGGGTCTGTCACTTTAGTCTCATAAATGACACATGTTTAAAGCTGGGGTCTGTAACTTTAGTCTCATAAATAACACATGTTTAAAGCTGGGGTCTGTAACTTTAGTCTCATAAATAACACATGTTTAAAGCTGGGGTCTGTCACTTTAGTCTCATAAATGACACATGTTTAAAGCTGGGGTCTGTAACTTTAGTCTCATAAATAACACATGTTTAAAGCTGGGGTCCGTAACTTTAGTCTAATAAATAACATGTTTAAAGCTGGGGTCTGTAACTTCTTCAATAAATGAGAGACTGCAGCTTTAACTTACAGACGCCAAATACCAGTGAAATAAAGCTCTGACTTTTGGAAACAGTTTGAAAGTGAATCAGTGCGAACACGTCAAACCGGTTTCCTCACATTCTGCAGTTGAGTTTTACTTTACAAAGATAAAGATAAAAATTATCACATGGAGACCAGAGAGAGACCAGAGAGACACCAGAGAGAGAGCAGAGAGCGAAACAAGAGAGAGACAAGAGAAAGAGTCCAGAGAGAGAGCAGAGACAGACCAAAAAGAGACCAGAGAGAGAGACCAGAGCGAGACCAGAGAGAGTCCAGGGAAAGACCAGGGAGAGATCAGAGAGAGACCAGAGAGGCCCAGTAAAGACTGTCCTGGCGCGTGCATGTGACTCACAGTGCGTGAAGAGTTGTGTGAAGCACGCGCTTTGGGTACGATCGCGTGCGTGAAGCTCGTGCACAATGTGTCTTCTCCACGCGTGCGCCATGAGTGGGTGATCCTCAGACCAAACCTGAAGACCTGGTCCACACTGAGATCGCGCACACAATCACGCAGCTCATGAGCGCGCACAGTAGCCAATCACAACAAACTTAACGTCGAATCTCAGCATGTGCAGAACACGCCCCGTCGTGAATACCAGGAGTCACCTATTCAACAGGTGCGTCACGTGCACAGTGAAAGTGAAAGTAAAAGTGGGGTCAGCGGCGAGAGAGGGGAGGGGCTTCAGTGTTCACGGATGTAAACAGCACAGATCAACTCAAGGTGCTGAAACTGTGGTTGTGTAATGAGGCAAGACACTGATGTGTGTGTGTGTGAGAGAGAATGGTTGGTAGTGGTGAGAGGGGCCGCTGGCAGACTAGTTTGCCCCAGGGCAGCTGTGGCTACAGTACTTTATGACCACTTTGTTTTGAGTGAAAGAATAATGATGTGAAGAGACTTGAAAAGTGCTGTTGAAAACACATTATTATTAGCTGTAGTATTAGTTATATTTAATGCTGATTTTCAATGCAATTTTATTGTTTAAATGTTCTGCACAAATTTTAATAAAACTGATGGAACCTGCAGCTGGTGACTGACATCTCTGCAACATGTGACATCAATTTAAACGAGATGTAAATAATGTGTCTCTGAAGCAGAAGACAGACGAAAGGTCTCTCTCTGGTCTCTCTCTGGTCTCTCTCTGGTCTCTCTCTGGTCTCTCTCTGGTCTCTCTCTGGTCTCTCTCTGGTCTCTCTCTGGTCTCTCTCTGGTCTCTCTCTGGTCTCTCTCTGGTCTCTCTCTGGTCTCCTAACGACACATCACTGTGTGGAGAGAGTGGGAATTACAGAAAACAAGAAGAGTGCTCTGAGCTACATGAATAAGATTACTCAAACTGTATCATAAAATACTTTATTACAAACATAAAAAACATTGATAACTGCAGTACTGGAGTACTGATGTAGTATTTGAGTACTGAGTCCTGTAAAGTACTCTTACTCCTGCAGTTTGTCTCTTGTCGCCTGCAGCAGCAGCTCAGAGTATCGCTCCAACAGCTTCATCATCAGACTGCAGTTCATCACATGACCACACGGGGAGGTACAGTCTCCATCTCCTCCTCTGAAGCTACAGTGTCCTCCTCCTCCTCTGGAGCTACAGTGTCCTCCTCCTTCTCCTTCTCTGGAGCTACAGTTTCCTCCTCCTTCTCCTTCTCTGGAGCTACAGTGTCCTCCGTCTCCTCCTCTGAGGGAGCTGCAGTCTCCTCCTCTGAGGGAACTACAGTGTCCTCCTCCTCCTTCTCCTTCTCTGGAGCTACAGTCTCCTCCTCCTCCTCCTTCTCCTTCTCTGGCGCTGCAGTCTCTTCCTCTGGAGCTGCAGTCTCCTTCTGCTCCTCCTCTGGGGGAGCTCTCACAGATGTCTTTGATCTTTGAGCTCAAATCTTCAAAAGCGGAGAGTAAAATGGAGGCGAGCATCGTATCAGACTGAACCTGAAGAAGAGAAGAGTTACCGCTGCAGTTGTAATGAGTTTGGCTTTTGGTTCTTCTATACTTGTTGTTTGGCTCTAGGTACTTCTATACTTTTTGGGATTGTCTCACCCAGACATATAAAGGCTAGATGTTGCATTGGCTGCTGGGGCACCAGAAATCTGGCTGCCATCTTGGAAAGGTCATCCTACCCATAAACCACCAAAGCAGCGCTGAGCACTGTGCGGTGTATTTCTGTCAAAATAAGCAGACTATTCAATACAAGACTCTGGGGATGACTGTTCCCAAGTAGGATTGAACATTATTATTGGTTGTACTTTGTGAACATCTGACTATAGAATAGCAAACAAGCTAACTAGCTTTGGTTCATTTCAAAGAGTTTTGTTGAGGAAAAGTACAAGACATTTGAAGGATGAAAATAGTCAATCTGCAGTTTTGTTTCTATTTGAATGATACTGTATTCAGTGTGTTTCAGGTCCTAGATGTTTCTAACTGTATGTATTACACAACATCAAGTAAATGTAGATTGTTAAAATGGTGATGAATGTGTTGGAAAATGCACTTTACTGTTTTGAATTAACACAATGACTGCAAAAGGTCTGTCATTGATGCATTAATAAAATAAAAAAATGGCGGCGTCAATATTGATTTGCGCTAATATATATATATGTGGTTTGCAAAGTACCTATCATAAATCACATATCAGATATACGCCAAACCATGTGCCCTGTATCATAGCTACATGTATGACGATTACAGCAAAAACACCGCCTGAAAGCATTAGTAAGTATTCCGTGAGTTATGATTAAATGCACTGACACTTCACTGCGCTGCCAAACAGATTACACTGAGTGGAGCGGGTGACCTGTCCAAGATGGCGGTCCCACGGCTCGTCAGCGCCAATAGGCAGTAGCGGCCGATAAGGCATCTACTAATCTACTATACAGTATGTCAATGGTCTAACCTCTCTGTAGAGTTGAAGCGTCTCTTCTGTCGTCCGCCGCAGCGTCTCAGCTGCTTGCATCACTTCCTGTTCACCCAGAAGGGGGTGGGGCCAGTGGTAGTCAGGGGTGGAGTAGGAGGTGACATCATCAGTCACTGAAATAGACAAAAGATGAGCATGAGGCCCCTCCCACAACCTGTGTAAGCCCCTCCCCAGGTGGGCCAGGTCCCGGATCCAAAAGGTCCATGAGCGTGTGCATTGACATTATAGACTGTAAATATTAAACAGATGTCGTCACACCCATCTCTGCCGTCGAAACAGCATTGACAGCATCTGGAACGTAGCGTTGGCCAAGAGCCGACTTTTGGACCATCCTGTAAATAGGTTTTTGAGAGGAAAGAAGATGCCATACAAAAGCATTGGCTAATTCTTATTCTGGGTACACCCCCACTGGCCCGGAGTGGTATTACAAACATGTCAGCGCACATGCTCATGGACCTTTTGGAGCAGAGACCCGCCCCTACTGATTGACATGCTTCCAATCTCACTCCGGGCCGGTGGGGGTGGACATTTTTGAAGAAACCCCACAGAAGGCAAAAGTAACTCTGTGCAAATTTGTTTCAACGGCGTAGATAGGCGTGACTATGTCAGTTAATATTTACAGTCTATGCTCCAAACTCAACTTGTGTAGGCCCCTCCCACACCTGTGTAGTCCTCTCTCCCTTGTACCTGAGATTTTGCAGAACTCGCGGGGCGTGGTCAGAGGATCAAGGGGCGTGGTCAGATGTTTGCAGCTGCACAAGAAGAAACTCTTGTCATGGATCAGAACAAAGTGTGCAGCGTTTGTGTCAACGTTTGCCTTAGCATTAGGCAACACTGATACACAAAACTTATCACAGATACAAACCTGACGTCCCGGTGAGGACTCTGTGCGACCGGGTCCGGACTCTGTGCGACCGGGTCCGGACTCTGTGCGACCGGGTCCGGACTCTGTGCGACCGGGTCCGGACTCTGTGCGACCGGGTCCGGACTCTGTGCGACCGGGTCCGGACTCTGTGCGACCGGGTCCGGACTCTGTGCGACCGGGTCCGGACTCTGTGCGACCGGGTCCGGACTCTGTGCGACCGGGTCCGGACTCTGTGCGACCGGGTCCGGACTCTGTGCGACCGGGTCCGGACTCTGTGCGACCAGTTTAAGGTCTGTTCCATGATCCGGGTCAAGGTTCTCCTTCTCACACTGCTGCAGTCCCAGGTCTGGTCTTGGTCTGGGTCTTGGCCCCAAATCCAAGTCTGAAATCTTTGGTTGGACTGCATTTCCCAAAATCTCCTGCGGCGGGAGTCGGCTGTTGAAGCCGTCTGATTGGACCAAACACAGGAAGGGAGATTATGAGCAGGTTTGATCGAGGTTTCTGAGCCCAACCCAGTCTGTTTACATGCTCTGATTAGAGCTAACCCCACAGGCTCTAGAGCAGTGGTTCCCAAACTACGGCCCGCGGCTACATTTGCTCAGGCCCCCTGAACAATACCAGAGAGTATTTTCTTATATGGCCTTGTTCACACTAAAGAGCACAAAAGTGTGACAAAAGGCCAAATATTTGATTTTAATAATCCGAAGATATTTTATGTTATTCATTTATCCTAATACCTCCTCTGTCCATTAGAAGTTGCTAGAACATAACTGTTTTATACATTAGACAAGTTTCCTATAGTGGCCCTGTTTATTTTATGTAATGGACGCGATGATTCGACGGAATGAGCTGCGGAAGTTTGTTACGTATTTTTAGATGTCCACATTTGATTAAGAGATTCTATTTTTTTTACATAGAGTAGAAACAAAGTGATATTTTTATATATTCAACCAATTAAATGTGAAACCAGACCAGATTTATTTTTCTCAAGTTTAATTGTTCGAGAAAAATGGACAGAAACCATCACGTCTGTTACATCTTTTTCAAGGGTCATTTATTTTTTTTTATTTTTTTTATTTTTTAACAATTCGTTTTTATATCAAGTGATTTACTGATGTTGTGTTAACCATGTAAATCTTGTGGGATTTCACCTGCCACTTTTTCAGACTGAGGACATTTTATTTTTTATGTAACTGGCGTCACAGTAGAAAGGTCAAATCAGAGGCTGATTTTGTCGTTTAAAATGTCACCAAAAAATATTTTTGTCAATCTTTCCTTTGATTTTATTCACACTATCTCTTCAATGTGTCTGTGTTTGAAATCTTTTTTCTAATCTATGATAGTAATTTTAGTTTTTTAGTTATAACCTTACCTTTTAAATTCCAGATACTTTAATTGACACACTCATGTGTATGTATGTCTATTTGATAATAAAGTTGGACTTTTGCAATAAAAAGTTCCTTAGTTATGAACTTTTTTCGTTATTAATTAGTTAGTAACTTTTTCTGTTAGAAACTGACCCGGCCCCCATCGAAGAAAGGAAAAGTTATATGGCCCTCACAGGAAAAAGTTTGGGGACCCCTGCTCTAGAGGATTAGAGCTTAATCAAGCATGTAAACAGAATCACTGAAACTCAAAACACCACCAGAGGGAGACACCACACAGTGACCAATGAGAGCGCAGAGTGAGGTCATGTGACACACCTGTGCGGCGCCGACACTGCACTGTGACGGGCGTGTGTGTGCGGCGCCCTGAGGCATGATGGGAGCTGTGTCTGCGGCCAATCACAATGCGACGTCCTGAGGGGATGAGTTCAAGTCAGGAAGTGCAATGCTAGCTTAAGCATGTCGCTAACATGAGTCCAAACCCTGTATGCAACACAGGGAGTACTACTCGATGTCCACCAGGGGGAGCACAGCTCATCACATAAGCCTGAGCTAGCCCTACAGATGCTAATGTTAGCTGCTCACAATAGCCTGCGCTAGCACTCCAGATGCTAACGTTAGCTGCTCACATTAGCTTGAGATAGCCCTCGCGATGCTAACGTTACCAGCTCACATGAGCCTCAAAGATTAAACTCACCTTCACGTTTCTGCAAACCGACATCTTTCAGAGCAGAACCAGAACTGGACCGAGACTGGACCTGAAACCAGAGGGGGAGGGGTGAGAGAGGAAGGGGTAAGAGAAGAAGGGGTGACAAGGTGAGAGAGAGAGGATACCTTGAAGTTGTCGATGGAGCTCTCCTCGAGAATCTTGGTGACAGAGATCTGAGTCTTAGACCTGAAAGAGAAAACAAATCCAAGTCAGGTCCGAAAGATTAGTGGAACTCGCCCATATTTGGGCATCGTCTGGTCGTCCCGGTTCTGCGCAGTGAACAAGCTCCCATGATGCGTTGCTCCCAGTGGGGGAGGGTCCCAGCTCAAACGTGGCCAAAATGACGTGCGCTGAAATGCTGCAATACCACCCCGGGCCGATGGGGGTGGACCCAGAAGTAGAATTAGCCAATGCTAACATATAGCATTGGCAGACTTCTCAAAAACGTCTTTACAGGATGGACCAAAAGTTGGCTCTTGGCCCAAAGCTCCCACATGTGTGTCAATGCTGAGGGGGGTGAATTTTTTTGGTCCACTCTAGTTTACTTGCTGTGAATTTTTTAAATCTCTCGTTCAAATGAATGGAGTTGCGCCGGCTGACGCATGCGCAGATGCGTTTTTTCACAATTTTCTTGTGGGCGGGACCACTCGCGGCCATTTTGGATAGCTCCAGTAGAGCACTATTTTTGGCCCATTAGTTAGAACGGCTGAGATGGGCGTGACTCTGTCCATTAATATATACAGTCTATGGTTGCTCCAAATAAAGGGGCTCGGCCGCGCTCTGACCAATCAGCGGCGGGAAAGCTAGAGCGGGAGTCAAACGAGAAGAGTTTCTTGCATTAAAAAGTGTGGATTTATAGAAAACCGAAGGATTTAACAAAGGAAAATCTTCAGGACGACAAAGGCCACTAAAATCCCCACAAAAACCGAACTTTATGAAAGCTGTAGGTTCTCTGTCAGCTGAGGTCGAGCTGTTTTAGTTTACGTTGAGTTTCACGGGACTTTTTCTGGATAATGTGAATTTAGTCTGCAGTACCATGGGCGCCCCCTGTGCCCATTGGTGGGTCAGCTATAAGCTAGTAATACCCTATCCAGTTAATATAGATAATGGTCCAGACCTAGTCCATTACCTGATTGGGTCATGTGACAGGAAGTGCTATTACCTTATTCGGTCTTGGTAGCGAGACAGGAAGCGCGTGGAAAGACTGAGACGCGGTTGCAGGAAGTGCTTTTGCTCGGGAGGCTGCAGGAGGGCGGGGTCAGTGTGGAAGCACTCTGAGGGCAGAGGTCAGAAAGAAGTCAGAGAGAGGTCAGAGGTCACAGAGATCATGTGACTCACCAGTCTCCAGATTGAAATCTGTCTCTAGAACAGGAGCAGAACTGCAGGAGCTCACGGACTCACAGTCTGAGGAGGACACAGAGGTCACTACAGGCCCTACTACTGCAGCCCTACCACTGCAGGCCCTACTACAACTGCAGATACTACTACTGCTGCAGGTACTATGAATGGGAGGATGGGGGAGGCAAGTGGGTGGGCGGTATCAAAGTACTCCTCTGCAGTATTTTTACTTGTACCTGTGTCCTGGTTTCCCTCCTGACTGAGATCTTCAAAGTCCCTGTAACAGACAAACTAGGTTCACACACCAGAGATCAGATACCAGAGAGAGAGCGGAATGAGACCCGAGAGAGAGAACGCTATTGAAGACTGGGGGATGTAGACTGCAGGGTTCACCTGTCCGAGGCGCAGAAGTTCACCACTCCCACCGACTCTGACCCCTACAGGGAGAGAGAAATGTTACCAGAGAAGAACCAGAGAGGAACCAAAGTGGAAGAAGAGGAAGAACCAGAGAGGAACCAGAGAGGAACAAGAGAACCAAAGGGGAACCAGAGAGAAACCAAAGAGAAACCAAAGAGGAACCAAAGAGGAACCAAAGAGGAACCAAAGAGGAACCAAAGAGGAACCAGAGAGGAACCAAAAAAGAACTAGGGACGAACCAGTTAAGCACAACCTGTACCTAATAGAATCATACCTCCTCCTCCTCCTCCAGCAGCAGACTCTCCAGACTCAGAGGATAGAACTCCCCCTCTGGGTCCTGGTCCAGGTCCGGGTCCTGGTCCTGGTCTTTGTCTTGGATTGGACTTGGACTGGACTCAGAGCAAACCCTGATTGGATACGTCTGCTCCGCCCACCTCTTCCTGATCTGTGGAGGCTCAGCGTGCGATTGGCTGAGAGGAGGAGGAGTCCCACCTTCTCCCTGTCACACACACACAGTGACACCAAAAAATATTAAAGGTCAGTTCCTCTCTCTCTCTATGGTCTCTCTCTCCCTCTCTCTATGGTCTCTCTCACCAGCTTCCGGAACCACAGCGGGAGCTTCCCATTGGTCTGGAGCAACGGCATATCTGGAAAACAGCAGAGTTCATAAGAGCTAAAATGTTGGGTGCAGTATAATCTGAGCCACAAGGGGCGCTGCAGGAGACGTACCGCTGAGTGTGTCGGTGCGTCTGGGCGTCAGCACCTCTGACTCCTCCACCTCCTTGCTTTGATTGGCCGGTCCACTGATGAAGGTCTCTCTCCTGGAACACAGAAAGAAGGACCTCACCACAGTGTGACATCACCACAGTGTGACATCACCACAGTGTTAGCCTTGCTACAGAAGAGTCTGATTTGAACATAAGCTGGAGCCAGTTTCCTTATATGGGCATTTGTTCGGATGGTGTTAGCTTAGTCTCTGATTGGTCAGTCCTTATATGGTCATATCTGGATTTACAAAGACAACATCACATATAAACAGCAGGATCACAGAGAAACGATGATAGGAATCAGACTCAGGCAAAACGGGATCTTTGTACGACAAAGCCTCCTGGCTGGTTTATTCACAAAATGGTCGTTAATTTCAGGCAGAACAAAAGACACAGATACATTATATATGGAAATCTACGTCATCATAGAAAAGGCCAAACCTTCGGCACCAAATAGCCTAAACAACGAAAGTCTCTGTGGTCCTTGAGACCTCCACAAGGCCAGGTTATTAATACTATTTTGTCTTGCATTTGTCCACCTGTGCAGTACATAGGTCACTGTTTACCACAACGATAAACCACAGATTTCAGCCCAAAATAGTGATGTCACACAAACGTTAATGAGCTAGAGCAGTGGTTCTCAAACTTTTTATACCAAGTACCACCACAAATGACCAACACTATACAGTAGCGTAGTAAGCCTAAGTATTAACCAAAAACAAGGCAGAGGTTTAATTCCTAAAGACGTATATTCAATATTGTCAGCCATTTTAACATTTTGCACAGTTTCAACAGTTAGACTTAGATAAAAGGAAAAAAAAACTGAAAACTGTACTTAAAAAAAGATTCCATTAAAATAAATTAATTCTGAACTGCAAAGTCTTGACTCACTGTGAATGATATTCTGGAGTGGGATCTTTGTCCACAGAAGGTTTGGACACTGGTGCACTTTTATTTCTAAGGCTTGGTCTGCTGCCCTCTTACATCTGTCGTTTACTCACAGAGACATGTTCATATCGTATGCATCAAATGATCTTTTGTTGCTCTCTGTTCCTTTTGCACAGAACTGGGGAAAAAAAAGCTTTTGTACATGCTGCTCCTTCTACATGGAACATTTTGCAAAAAGACTGGAAATTATCTGAACTTATTTAATTGAATGCTTTTAGATCCAGATTGAGAACACTTGAGACATTGTTTTTATAATAATTCGTAATTCTATGAAATTGTATATGACTGTTTAATAATCGGTAATTGTATGTAACTTTTGTCCAGGACTCCCTTGAAAAAGAGGTTCTTATACTCATGGTTAAACAAAGGTTAAATTACAAAAAAAACTAAAATGTTTATTTTTTTTATTTTTCTGCTTTTGTCAGTGACTAAAAGTTTTATGATCATGTCAACTTGGAGAAAATTGTTTTTTGGGTGTAAATATGCAACATACTATTTGGCCCAAAAAGGGAAGAATGCAGTTGACTTTTTTTTCACGTGGATCTGCCTGTTTGAATAAATGTGTTCATCTGCGACACTTCAATAAGACTGTTCCAGAACTACAGTTACCATGAAACTACTCAAAAACTGATGTTATTGTTTTCTTGCCGATGGCTAGGGCAGCAAGGAGAGTATTTTGGTCGTTTGGATTGAGGTTTATTGTAGAGGTGTGACCGAGTATGCATGGAATGGGGTTACAGGGGATGTGGCAGTCAAATATGGGGGATAGGATGTCGGTGACCTTCTCCCAAAAGTTGTGAACGTGGGTGCAGTGCCAGAAGGCGTGGATGTATGTGTCCGGAGTGTTTTGTGTGCAGTTAGTACAGTTAGCCAAGGCCCTGTTTATACTGAGACGCTGCGCAGACGTTTCCAGGCTATTAACAGAAACGACCAGGCTCCTAATGCAAATTTCTCAGCGTTCACATGAGGTTGAAAAACGATGTAGTTCTAGCGCCCGGCCAGTAGTGGGCAGAGAAACTTTACAACACTCACACGACCCCCAGCCCCGTGCCCAGCCCCCCTCTCGGCAGTATACTCACTTCCTGTGCCAGACCATCAGAACGCACCAACATCATTCTGCATTTTAACAGCAGCTGTGAACATGGGAACTGAACCTAGAGCTTCGCGTGGTCTCGTTTGGACGAACGAAGGAGTAGAATTATCCTCTGTGCAGCGCTGGAAGCCCACGAAGCTAGTTAGTGCGACTGCCGCCATTGTTGTTGATGTTTGTTCTCCGCTACTGCGCATGTCCAAATTTACGTGCGGGGAGCAGCGCGGAGGCGGGGGTCAGAGCAGAGGGGGATTTCACACCTTTTCCCCTCTCGCGGGTGTGAAAGAGCTCCCCGCTGTGCAGCGTATCTGAGTTGTCCCACTCTGCAGGCTGGATCTGAACACTTACGTTTTCACCCCCCTGGAACAAAGTCTTCGTATGAACGGTTGGTAGCAACCGACATCCAACTATACCGTTTTACTGCCACATTGTCTCTGTGTAAACTCAGCTTGAGGTGAATCCCATTTTTGATAGTCTGTGCCCAGTGTAGTGTGTTCTATGAATAATTTTGTATTGAATGAGTTGTAGATTGGAGTTATTTGTCATGGAGTACATATTGTGGCAGATTTGTGTCCAGAAGGCGGGATCGGGAGGAACCGTAAGGTCCTTTTGCCATTTGTCAATTGGGATGGGGCAGGTTGTGTCAAATTTTGAAATAATTTGGTAGGTTTTGGAGAGGCGTTTTATTGGTTTTAGGTTGAGAATAACAAACCTCATGAACTGGAAAGCAAGACACAAAAAAACAATCAACCAATGGAAAAATCTCCTAGACCATCTCACTCTCGACACTACAACCTCACCCACCTCAACCACTCATACCACTACAGAACCCCTCTCCATCAAACCCGCACTCTTACGGGGGATTTACACAGTAGGCGTAAACAGCGCGTACGCGTTTACTGCGCGCTCTCTGCGCGTAACATTTTTTTGGAGTATCTACACTGACCGTGCGCGCAGGTCCGCGGCTTCTGATGCTCTCCCTGTGTAGTCTATGGAGCAGTGTAGAGGACAGTACGAGCCAGAGGACTGATGTAGAGCAACACAAATCACATGCATGTGTTTGTCTTCATGGTCTCTGTGCGCTGGTTTGTCCAGACGCGAGACTTTATGAAAGAAAAAAAACGATGTCCAGAATCACTGTAAAACCTGCTGCTCCTCCTGCTGATGTTTAGACACAAGTGCAGTGTGCGTGCAGATGTGATCTAAAGCCAAGGACCGCTAGAAAAATAAAGTTTTACATGAGATTTCAATGGGAGACGCGTTGGTGCGCGCACAAAATTAGAAATCCATCCTAAATTAGAGCGCAGCTTCGCGTCACATGTCCGTCATACGCGCGTATAACGCTAGAAGTGTAAATATCATCATAGGTTAACATGGAAAAAAGTTACGCGCGTCTGCTGCGCGTATAACGCGTACGTGCTGTAACGCGTGATGTGTAAATTAGCAGTTACACATTCTCACCGGTTAATTACTTGCCCTCTGAGGCTGAGTTTACACGGAGACAATGTGGCAGTAAAACGGTATAGTTGGATGTCGGTTGCTACCAACGTAAGTGTTCAGATCCAGCCTGCAGAGTGGGACAACTCAGATACGCTGCACAGCGGGGGCTCTCTTTCACACCCGCGAGAGGGGAAAAGGTGTGAAATCCCCCTCTGCTCTGACCCCCACCTCCGCGCTGCTCCCCGCACGTAAATTTGGACATGCGCAGTAGCGGAGAACAAACAAAAACAACGATGGCGCCGCGCACACTAACTAGCTACGTGGGCTTCCAGCGCGGCACAGAGGATAATCTACTCCTTCGTTCGTCCAAACGAGACCACGCGAAGCTCTAGGTTCAGTTCCCATGTTCACAGCTGGTTACCCACACAGCTAACCTGTTTTCCACATGCAAAATGATGTTGGTACTTTCTGAGGGTCTGGAAGTGAATATACTGCCGGGAGGGGGGCTGGGGGTCTTGTGTCGTGTGTTAGTATTAGATAGCAATATGGCCTACGTGCAGGACTGTACAAGGACTCTGATTATTTTGACTATGATGTGACTGTCTCTGTGTGACACGTACTTCTTTCGATGTGTGACGTGACAATGACTATATGAAATGTGTACTGCCTTTCTTCTGTCTGAGAGAAGGAAACAATGGAAACCACTGGAACTTGAGAGAAACTTAAATAAACTTCCAGAGTTTGGCACACCACGATCCGTCTCTGTCTGCTTCATCCCTGACAGATTTAGTGGAGGATGTGCGGCTCGGTGTGTGCCATTCTCTGGATTGTTTTGAGGGAGTTTCCATTGTTTCTTTTTTCGGCGTGTGGGAGCAACAGCACGTTATCTGGAAGGGGAGAAATCCCAGTGGACGCTGAAAGGGCTCGCTTTTGGATGGGCTTGCTCTTGCTCCCTCACTTTCTCTGTTTTGTGTTTAAATGGAATTTTTTGGACAAAGAAAATAAGGTAAGCAGACACCATTTTTAATATGTAAAGTCTGCATAATTGGATACTAGCTAAATTTTGAGCTCTGTCCAAATCTCTCTAAATCAAATTTTCTTTGTCACGTCTTTGTCATGTCTTATGTTGTAGAAAACAGGTTAGCTGTGTGGGTAACCAGTCCCTATAGGAAAAAAAGAACCGCTTGACGTATCGGGGTCCCTGTCCTTTGAAGTAGTCAGGACAGAGTGAAAAAGGTACCCCTGAGGTATCGGGGTCCCTGCCCTTTGGAGTAGCCGGGGCAGAGAATAGAGAATAGAAAATAGTTAGTGAAACCATGGTGTAAAATTAAAAGTTATAATAAAAAGGGAAACGTTAAACACTAAGAGTGCCTTTTGTTACAAATGTGGAAATTGGCCATTTCTAGACTTGGATGACAAAAGTATAAACTACGACATCAGTTATATTCGCTTTAAAAAGTAATCTTGAAAGTTCTTCTTCTTTCTGTTTTTGCATTTTTGCTAAAACACTACTTTCTGCCTGTGTGTGTGCGCGTCTGTGTGACAGGAACAAACCCAAGGACGCATAGATAATTAA